TATTATGAACTAGTGGCCTGGTGCACGAAATTCGTGCGGGAGAGAGGCGGGGAGCAGTATTCCTCAACCCGGCCTGAACCCTCTCTAATCTGGGAATCCTCAAGAGATGTCCGACCGCCTGTTCAGGCCCGATCCCACAGGCCTAAACTGGCAGTCGGACATCCCTCTCGCAGTCTGGGACCACTGACTCTTAATAGTTCACCTCCCTGCCTGCTTGATCGCCTCTAACCACTCTGCCTGCCAGCCCCACCTGCCCTCCCGCTGGCCTGCTTGTCCCCAACTGCCCCCCTGACGGCCTGATCACCCCCAATGGACCCCCACTGATGGCCTGCTTGCGGAAGCTTGGCGTCCTCTATTTCACATGTTCATCTTGGAGCAAATTTCATTAGAAGCTTGTCAGCAGGATTTCCAGCTTTATAAAAAGGGGTGCATTTTGTAAAGAGAGCACTCCATTATTGAATCTTCAGTTTTTCCTTATTTTACTCTCGTGTTCTTTGTTCAATTCCTTGTTTTATTGTCTTCCTCCTTCACCCTTATTAGCATAAATGTTCATAGTCAGCTGGTTGGAAATAGCTCAGGAAACACTGGGACAGTTGGAAGCTTGAGTCAGCTGTTGGAGTCGGGAAAAATGTCTAATTTTCTAAAATTATTTTGAATTGAAGAAATTTGATTCAGAGTCTGTACTTCATTCAAAACCCTTGTTAAATATAGTTAAGCACATAATATAGCAATAAATAGCTTTAATGTATCAAATATAAAATCCTCTCCAAGATAGAACTCTGCTATACCCAACTTATAAAGAAAAGCACTTAATTTTGTGAAAACAATTTTATATGTCAGCAAGAAAAAACAGAAGTTGAGTACTTCCTTGAACCCCCGACTTAATCATAAGTCATTAGTTTGATTTTCATTGAAAATATTTAATATATGCAAATTATAAATTTTTACTTTAACTGCTCTCTGGTAATAAAGTATCTCCAGGTTAAAACACTACATAAAATGTTATTTAAAGGTGAAAATGCCTGCTGGCATCCTATTAATAGTACTTTTAGTAGGAATATCAACCTATTAAGCCAACACTGGGGTGGAAAATAAGGTCTTTGGACTAGCAAAACTGTTGTTCTAGCATTTTATTTGGATTTATTTAAATTTCTTTTTAAAAAATATGATGTTTTTATTTCAGAGAGGGGGAGATAGAAACATCAATGATGAGAATAATTGATTGGCTGTCTCCTGCACACTGGGGATGGAGTGTGCATAGGCAGTCTGATTCCGGGGAACTCAAACATAAAAAATTAATTAAAAATTGAAAAATTCCCCCTTTTCTCCTTAAAGAATGGTCATTTGGGTATCTACTTAAGTGTTCTCTGGAAAACAAAATTTTCTCATAGAAGAAAAAATATTAAACTTAATTATAAAGCCAAGTTTCCTGCTGAACCTCAGATCTCTTATTATCTTATAGGTAATAAGCTCAGAGCTATAGGACCTGTGATAGAAACATGATAATAGTTCGTAATAGAAACATGATAATAGTAATGGCTGCTATTTATTATCCTACCTAATAAAAGAGTAATATGCAAATTGACCATCACTCTGCTACACCTACTAGCCATGCCCACCAGCCAATCAGAATGAGTATGCAAATAAACCCAACCAAGATGGCTATAGCCACAGAGAGCAGGAGGGAGGCTTGGATTTCCCAGGCAATGGAAAAAGCCAAGCTGTCCGCCTGCCCTTGTTGGCCTAGCCCTCCACTCAAGGCTACAAAGTTTCAATTATGGAAGGTAAACAAATCCAAACAGAAATGGCTGCTGGCCATGGAGCGAGCAGGAGGCTCCACTCCAGGCTACAAAGTTTCAATTGTAGAAGGTAAATAAATTACAGATATCAGGGCCTCCGCTTGGGTCGCCCGGGGATGTGGCTGGCCTGCAAACCACCACAGGCCCCTCAACCAGGCTGCCCTGTGCCCCAAGGGAACCCCCACCTGATCCAGGACACCCTTTAGGGCAAACAAGCTGGCCCTCACCCATGCACCAGGCCTCTATACTATCTAATAAAATAGTAATATGCAGATTGACCATCACTCTACCACACAGTATGGCTGCCCCCATGTGGTCAAAGATGTCTCCCTATGTGGACACAAGATGGCTGCCACAATATGGCCAGCACGGGAGGGCAGTTGGGAGGCACCAGACTTGCAAGGGAGGGCAGTTGGAGGCAATCAGCCCTGCAGGGGAGGGCAGTTAGGGCTGACCAGGCTGGCAGAGGAGGGAAGTTGGGGGCAAACAGGCTGGCAGGGGAGCAGACATCAATCAGGCTGACAGGGAGTGGTTAGGGGGTGATCAGGCTGGCAGTCAGAAGCGGGTGGGGTCAATCAGGAAGGCAGGCAGGCGAGCACTTGGGAGCCAGTAGTCCTGGATTGTGAGAGGGATGTTCCACTGAGATTGGGCCTAAAGGGGCAGTTGGACATCCCTAGAGGGGTCCCAGGTTGGAGAGGGTGCAGGCTGGTCAGAGGGATACCCCCCTTCCTGGCCCCATGCATGAATTTTGTACACTGGGCCTCTAGTTTAATATATTTACTTTGTCAACCCCTGTGCTTTATATATTTACATTTCTTGCCCCAGTTAATCCTAGGGGAAGTCCTGCTCAGGGAGATTAAGAAATTTGCTCAAAGTCAAAACTAGTGGAGCTAGAAATCAAACCAAGCCTTCTAGTTCCAAAATATACACATCCCACTGAAGCCAACTGACACTTAAAAAAAAAATAAAAAAAAAAAAAATATATATATATATATATATATATATATATATATATATATATATTTATATATATATATTATTAATATTTCACAGAGAGGAGAAAGGGAGAGAGATAGAGAGCTAGAAACTCCGATGAGAAACATTGACCAGCCGCCTCTTGCACACCCCCCACCGGGGATGTGCCTGCAACCAATGTACATGCCCTTGACCGGAATCGAACCTGGGACCTTTCAGTCCGCAGACCACTGAGCCAAACCGGCTTCGGCCCAACTGACACTTTTTAACTGAAACAATGCTGGGTAGGCCTTGCCTGGCTTATCGCTATCTTAGACCTTAACTGAATCTAGAGTTCAATGATAGGATATATGAACAGCAGTTTGTCAGCTGTCTATATTCCTGGAGTTAATTTACCTCAAAGGCCACTCCCCACCCCATTGATATATGATAGTGTGGGCCTTTGGAGGTCCCAGAGTGACTCAGTCTTTTCATTACTAGGAAATCGAATAGTTTGGTGCTTTGAGCAAGAAGGTAAACTTTTGATACATAGGTGAAAACTGTACTAAAACAAAATTTAAAATGAATGAATTTTATTACTACACCCTTCTAAGGAAAGATGAAAAATATCTAATTTATATGTTGAAAGACCTTTTTCTTTTTACCAACTGTTCCTATTTCAAATTCTTAGAAAATTCAAGCTGAATAGACTTTTAAAAACGTTGCTTATACCTTTACCACAACATACCTGTAGTCAAATAAGTTTTCAGCACTGTTAATCAACAGAAATTTACCGGGTCATTGTGTTGAGGGGCACTGTACTTGGTACTGAGAGAGATCTTGAGCTCAATTCCAGAAATATGGTATATAAAATAGCTCAAGATTAGGCATAAATGAATGGAAATGGACTTCCATAAAATGTTGAAGGGCTTTCTTGGAGGAGAGCCAGTGTAGTTTTACTGGAGGAGGAATTTGAGTTGACAAGAATGGTTGATGACGAATGGGGAGAGCATTGGAAGCAAGAGGGATATCCAGTGGAGTCCACTGACAGTAAGATCTTAAAGAATTTGACCACCCACTCTTCTAACACCAAAAGTAAAGAATATAAATGAGAGCATTATCTGAGAGGGAAAAAGAATGTTTGGCAGATCATAGGGTATTCTGGTTAGTCATTAATTCAATTGTGTTCTTATCAAGTGTCAAAAAAAATGCCAGCTAAGCAACAATTTCAGAAGGTTTAAGACAATAGAAAGTGCTAAAGTTGTCACTTCTTTATGTACTGAATGGCAGTGAGACTATTGATGGAAGCTGTTTAGCAAAGGTCAGATTGGCAACCCTGTAGGAAACCCTGCCCTCTACACAAAACACACACACACACATCTAATAAACATTGAGCATTTTGCTGTTAGGAAAAAGGAGGTGTTTTGGATATGAAGGATAGTTTTTTAAGAGAAATAAATAGTAGGAGAAATGAAAGAAAGGTTGAAAATGATTCTTACAAAATTTGCTTTCAGAGTCTCTTATAAGAACACTGATCCTGTGGGATCAAGGCCCAACTCTATGCTCTCATTTAACAGTAATTACTTTCCTTAAAGCCATGGTCGGCAAATTGCGGCTTTCAAGCCACATGAGGCTCTTTGGCCCCTTGAGTGTGGCTCTTCCACAAAATACCACGGCCTGGGCAAGTCTATTTTGAAGAAGTGGTGTTAGAAAAAGTTTAAGTTAAAAAAAATTGGCTCTCAAAAGAAATTTCAATCATCGTACTGTTGATATTTGGCTCTGTTGACCAATGAGTTTGCCGACCACTGCCTTAGAGGCTTTATCTCCAAATAAATACAGCTGCACTGGAGGGTTACAGTTTCTGCTGGTATATTTGGAGGGAACACAAACATTAAGTATCATAACAATTGGCACTTACATAATGGTTGAAGGTCTGATGGCTTATAATTGCATTACTTTTAATGTCTCTACTGCTGCTAATAGTAACTCACTTCCCATGTATTTGGATATATTCTCTCCCATAATTATTTAGCAAATGTGTAGGGATGAGAATTGTATTCTACAAAATTTGTATTCTACAAAATTTATTGTATTCTACAAAATACATTGTATTCTACAAAATTTGTATTCTACAAAATTTATTGGTGAGTTGGTGTACATTTCTCAGGTAAATTCCAACCAGTCTAAATACAGTTAAGTAAAGATTTTAAACTTACTTACCTATTGGCTTTATTTTCTTTACCTTAGCTGTGTTGGAGTAGAAGAACATCATGCTGTTGACATTGACTTGTATCACTGTCCCAACTGTGCAGTTCTACATGGATCCTCCTTGAGTAAGTACTAGAAGCTCAAATAAAAGTTCAGTACTTAATGTGTACCTGATTAAGAGTACTTCTATTTCCCAAATTTGGTCATCATGTTGAGTATGACTTGGAGTCCTGCCCCAGCCATCCTCTCTGCTTGAAACCAGTCTCCAACAGTTCCAACCAAAAGAAGACAGAGGGTTCAGACCAAGTCTCTGCGGATACTCTTCTTCCTGAGCTGGCAGAGCACAGGCACGGAAGCTCCCGCGTCCTCGGGAGGGAACCTGCAGACAGAGACAATGATATTTATTCTTAGCTTTTTACAAATGCTTCAGAGGAATAGATTGAAATATTGTACAAATGTGATAATAGAGATTTTAAAGGCTTTGAAATATGTCCTTACTACTTTTTCCCTTTAAAATTTATACTGCAAACTAGGGTTCTTATGTCCATTAAACTAAAAGGAAAAACTTTAGACTTAGTCATTTTAGAACAGAAAGGAACCTTTTACTCAGTTTGCCCTGATAAATACTTGGGTCAGTATAGGTAATCTGTATATACAACCTTTTTATTTTGAATGCATAATTTTTTTCTGTTCCTTAAAAAAGAAAATAAATTTTGTTCTGAGATCATGGTCAAGTAATTTTTTAAGAGACTTACTGGCATCTGACTGCTCATATGTTTTGTTAGAAATGTTATTGATTTATCAAATTTCTTTGTAAGGGATTTAGAAATTTAAACTATATTAATGCATTAAAATATTTCCTTATAAAATAAGAATATCTATTTTGCTGTTACTACACATAAAATTTGAGGTTAGCAGGTTGATAGAATTGTTACATGTGTAATTGTCTAATTTCATAAATTTTAAAAAATATATTTTATTGATTTTTTACAGAGAAGAAGGGAGAGGGATATAGAGTTAGAAACATCAATGAGAGAGAAACGTAGATCAGCTGCCTCCTGCACACTCCCTACAGGGTACATGCCTGCAACCATGGTACTTGCCCTTGACCGGACTCAAACCTGGGACCTTTCAGTCCGCAGGCCGACACTCTGTCCACTGAGTCAAACCTTTTAGGGCTCATAAATATTTTTAAAGGTTTTTATTTTATGTAGCATTGAAGTACACATACTGTATCACTTGATATAATTATTGACAGTGATTCTTGAAGGAAGTAAATACTACTATTTTGTTATTTGTAAAAGAAAAATATAAAATTGCTAACAGTTTTAGTTTAGAATTTAAGCATATAATACCAAAATTAAATAATTGAAATTTAATTTTTATGAAATATTAAGTTGGTTACTATGAGGCAGAGTAATGTGCATGTGATGTACCCTATTTTTTCCCTATATGATTTAATTTTTTAAAAAGCTTGTCATGCTCACTAAATTGATTTCACAATCCATAATGGATCATGACCTGCATTTTTAATAACGAGGCATCAGAGAGACTATATTATCTGGCCCTTCAGTGCTTCTTATCCTTGAATAACACAGGCACTGGCTGTCTTTGGGCAGAAGTCCAACTCTGAATACTCAAGGGAAAATGACCAAGATCTAGTAATCTCTTAGTTTTTGATTTAAGGCTTGTTTTTCCTACCCTTTATCCTCCACACCCAACTTGGATAATCCACTTGGTTCCTTGCCCTCTACTATGAAGCCTTTCCATCTACTATGAAGCCCTTCTTGCTTGCCATTCATGTTTCCTGTTCCTTTTGAAGTGCCCCAGGAATCCTTATTATTTAGATACCATCTAGACACTATGATACCCACTTAACATGGTGAATTTAGACTTTACCTCCTATGGGAATTAAGAACTCTATTGGAGGACAGATATAAAAAAAAACAAAAAACAAAACAAAACAGCCTAATACCTAAACATATATTCTCAGTGCTCTCCAGGCACATACAATTCAAACTCAAAATACTCTCTTTTTCCCCATGAACACTACTGAAATATTTCTTCAGTAGCCTCCTTCCTTCAAGAGATTCTGTTAGCTCTTACAGTGGCTGATTTTGTGTGTCAAATGTTTTGACCCCACAGGATAGTCATATCCTTCTGTTAACATCCTCCAAGTCTGAACATTAAAAAGGAAACCTTACTGGGTGCCAGACACTATGCTAAGTACTTGACCTATGTTATCTCCTTTGATATTTATAACAGCATGATGTGAGAAAAGTGATCTAATAGCTCTTTTATGTAACTATTTGGCAGAGCTAGAGTACAAACCCATAGCTAACCAATCCCAATCTGTTCTAATTCTAATCATTTCTGCAAAAATGATATTAAAACAATGTAATATCACAATTACTTACCAAATGAGCAGCATTTCCTTTTCTTTCCAATACTGATTGACCCAGAGCTTTGAAACAGGCTGTGTATGTACATTGGTAAGAATGTGAGTCATCTGCCACTTTTCTGAAGGCAGTTAGTTTTGCAATTTGTAGCTAGTATCTTTAAAATTTTGAGTATTTCTTTTCACATTTTTAGGAATTTATTCCAAGGAATTAATGAGGGAAACATATTTATGTATATGAATATCAACCCCAACTTTGTTTGAAGAAAGATTCAGGATGAACAAAGTACATAAGAATTAAAAAATGATTATAACATGCATCTGCATCTATATCTTAAAATAATTCTAAGCCATTTTAAATTGCTTTTGGCTATTAAGGAGAAATTGGTCATGGTATTATAAGAAAGGTAAGCAGAATTATGATCCTAGTTGAAAATAAAATGGGGTTCTATATCTATATATACATATAGATAAGGAAAAAAGCCTGGAATTAAATACTTTTGAATTTTAGAAGTGATTTTTAAATGAGGAAAAATAAGACACAAAAGATACCTTAATTGGATTTTCTAGGAAGGTTGTTTTATGATTCTCAGTTTTTCTCATGAGATTAAAAAAAAGGGGGACCCTAACCGATTTGGTTCAGTGGATAGAGCAATGGCCTATGGACTGAAGGGTCCCAAGTTCGATTCTGGTCAAGGGCATGTACTTTGGTTGAGGGCATATCCCCAGTAGGGGGTGTGCAGGAGGCAGCTGATTGGTGTTTCTCTCTTATCAATGTTTCTAACTCTCTATCCCTCTCTCTTCCCCTCTGTAAAAAAATCAATAAAATACATTTAAAAAAAATAGAATTTACTGTCTTCTATATTGAAGGTCTGACTGCCATAAATTTCTTAGAGATCTTGTTTTAGACTCTTAGATATGAATAAGTCCATTCCTATTGATTGTTTAGTTTGACTTCTTATCCATATGAGAAATCAGTATTACAGGCAGTCCTTGGGTTACGTTGGACTTAATGTACATAGTTTCATGGTTAATGTTGCCATCTTCCATTTATTTATAAAAACAAAAAGTTCTGTCATTTCGACGTATGTACATATGTGCTTTATGTTTTTTATTATTTATTTTACACAAGTAAAGGTCAGGAATTGCTACCTTTTAATTTTTTTTTTTTATTGTTTCACTTCATTACTGTTGTGTATGTGCTCCATGTGAATGATATAGGTGCTTATGTAGATGGGTTCCGACTTATGGTGAAAAACACATTACATCGAGCCTTAGGAATGGATCTCTGATGTAATCTGAGGACCTACTGTGTTATTACTAGAGGCCCGGTACACAAAATTCATGCATTGGGGTGGAGGGGGGTCCCCCCAGCCCTGCCTGCACCAACTCCAATACAGTACCCCTTGGGGATGACCAATGGCTGGTAGATGTACATCCCCCTCGCAGTCCTGGACCGTTGGCTCCTAATCGCTCACCTGCCTGTCTGGTTTTCCCTAACTGTCCTCCCCACCCCCCGCCCTGCTGGCCTGTTGCCCCTCACTGACTCTGAGTGCCAGCCTGGTCGCCCCCAACTTTCCTCCTCTTCACCCCCCTGCTGGCCTGGTTGCTCCCAACTGTCCCCCTCCTGCTGTCTTGGTTGCCCCACGCAGCCTGCTGTTCAGTATTTGGTCGTCACTCAGTAACCCCCTGCTGGCCTGGTCACCCCACACAGCCTGCTGTTTAGTTGTTTGATTGACCCTCACTAACCCCCTGCCAGCCTGGTCGCCCCATGCAGCCTATTTGTTCAGTTGTTTGGTCATCCCTCACTAACTGCCCTGCCAGCCTGGTTGTAGGCAGCCATCTTGTGAGGGTGTGAGGGTCAATTTGCATATTGCCTCTTTATATAAGATGATTATTGTACAGTGAAGGTGTGAAGTAACTTAGACTCACAGAGTTTATTCCCCACCCAACATTTTGTTATGAGAATGTTTAAACATACTGGAAAAGTTGAAAGAGTTTTATAATGAGTACCTCTAAATCCATTATATATATTCTATTAACATTTTATGTTTTTGCTTTACCACATATCTGTCCATGTAACTATCTCACTATCACCTTATTTTTATGCATTCTAAGTAATAAAATATAAAGCTTAAGAGTGCTTTTTAAACTTTAAATATATATATATATATATGACTGAATATATATATATATATATATATATATATATATATATGTATATATATATATGACTGAAGTCTTGTATTAATACCACACAAGAGATAGGTAGGTGGTGCCACCCTGGTGGAAAGAGGAATCAGGTCCAGAGCTTCTCCCTCAGCCTCTTTCCCTTCTTCCCCTTTATTAAGGGTTTCTCAACACAGATGGAAACGCAACACTCATCCCCTCCCTTTCCATACTGAGGAAACTGGAGACAAATGTGTTAAATTACTTGCCCAAGGTGGCAGAATAGTTATGGCCAAACTAGGAGTCACATTCTAGACTCCTGATTTTTAAAACAAATTTATTGATTAAGGTGTTTCATATGTGTCCTTATTCCTCTATTCCCCCTCCCCCTACACTCTTCCCCCCCCCTCCCCCAAGTCTCCTGATTTTGACTGCTGTGAGTATTCAAGATTACATCCTGCTGGAGCTAGGCATTAGAAGTAACCATAAAGCCATTTATTCTGTGATTCCACTTGTCTTTAATTGTGATGCAGTCACCTGCTCTTTTTTGTGTTGGTATAACCATGCTTATTGGGGGAATAAATCTTGACATAAAAGAGAAGGGAGCTGTGCTGTTAAAAATAGATTTCCGATATAGGATTAAAGACCCTATTCTGAGAAAATGATTTGGATGATCTGTAAAAATCATGATTTTAAATAATTGTGAGATATTATAGTATTGTAAATGCAGATCTTTTAAAAGGCTCCATCTGCTAATTTGAATCCCTTGATTTAATTTTAAATTATTATGAAACAAAAAGAGTAGATTAAAAAAATAGTTAATTGCCTATAGTTGCTGTAGTATATAAAGTAAAATTTACTTCTTCAGCCTAGAAATGCATACAAAATATGAGTTTTTATTGTATTTAAAAATTGTTATGTTTAATTATCTAATGATTAGAAAGTTCATAGCATCACTATGTACCACATGTTTCTTTTTTTTTTTAATCTAAAAAATCCAGTGAAAAAGAGAAGAAACTGGCACAGGCACGACTACACCGAAATTGATGATGGTTCCAAACCAGTGCAAGCTGGAACTAGGACTTTTGTGAAGGAATTACGTTCTCGAGTCTTCCCAAGGTATGGAAACCTGTTCTGACCATAGAAAATTTAAGAATGTTATCTGATAAATTGACATATCTGAAGCAATGCTTTCAAATGTCAGGTTATGTCTCATTATTATTTCAATAAAAAAATGAAATGAAGTCCTGGCCGGGTGGTTCAGCTGATTGCAGCATCATCCCATTCACCAAAAGGTGGCGAGTTTGATTCCAGGTCCGGCACAACCAGGAAGCAACAGATTAATGTGATGTTTCTCTCTCCCATCAATGTTTCTCTCTCCCCCTTCCTTTCTTAAATCAATTTAAAAAAAAAAAAAAGCAAAAAAGAAAATATTAGTGCATTGCAAATAATAGGATTAAATGAGTATAGTTTCATGGAACTTCTGTGTACTGGGTCACTATGTAAAAATATATTTCTTAACTGTGGATCCCAATCCAAAAAGTCTGAAACACAATGATCTAAGGCAGTTGTTCCTTACCATAGCAGCTAGTGCTACTTTTTCCCCTTGTCTACTCCTATTTTTTCTTATGTTGTTTTCCTGCTTGCCTCTGCCCTACGTCTATCAGAAGTACCATTGCTCAGCCTCTCTGATGGCAGCAAAAAGGGGCTTTTTGACATTTTAAAGGTAGTGGAAAGTATTTGAGTCACCTGTGGCTCAAAGAGAGTCAAAAGCATTATACAGCATTATACATGCTAATTTAGATCGTTCCCTACTCACTGCCTGACATCTAAGTTGGTTCTTCTTAATAAGCTTTTACACTAGATCCATATCTAGGCTTGTTAAAGAGAGGAAGCGCATTTTAAATTTAAATCACACAAATGCACCCTATTTGGAAATTATTTCAGATCTTATAACTATATAACCCCTTTCTTCACAGCCTTTAAGATTCATATCCCTCTCCTCCATCCTTAAACAGAAACATAAAATATAAGCAGCTCCTGTTGGCTCCCTCAGGTCTACTGAAAGAAAACACACACACACACACACACACACACACACACACACACACACACACACAATCTTGTTAATTCCGAGGTTTCCATATGATTCTAGTGATATTAAAGGTCATATTTTCAAATATTCTCCTTTATCAGTTTCAGAGTCATTGGAGAAATGTGTTTGTTTTCCTTAGTTGGTTTGGAATCTAGGGCCAGAGTTTTCAGCCTGGGTCTATGTAGGGCTTCAGAGAGGCTGTGAGTCCCCTAAAACTGTATAAATAAGCTAGTATGGATGTGGGAATGGGCATTTTTTTTAAGGGAAGGAGCTGTAGCTTTTCATTTTTTTTTTTCTAAATAGATTTGTCCCCCAGAGTAGGATAAAAATACTGGCCTGGCGATTTCTGTGGCTTTTCTGCTACAGCAGACACCGATGAGAGCAGGTTATAGAGGTGGTCACACAAGACCAAACTGTAATTACCTTTAAATAAAGATCTTTAGTTTTATTTGTTTAACTGCATAAACCTTCATCTTCTTAAAACCATAGTGGAGTGACAGTTATTAACTACATTATACCTACTTAATGTGATGAACACAGAAGTATATAAAATAAAGTGAACAGACCATCTTTTCCTCTCCTATTTTAAGAATGTGTTTTGACATCCTTTACTACATAAATAATAACATTTAAACATTATTGTATATATGTATGATAGTTATATTATGATATGCATGTTGTGTAACTTGATTTTTTTACTCTATTTTGTAGATGTTCTTACATATGTATACAAAAATTTATATCATTCCTTAACTGCTGTGTAGTATGCAAAAGTGTATATGTACACCATAATTACTTAGCCATCTCCCTATGATATATGTTTAGTTTGTCTCCAATTTTTTCTCTTGAAAGTATTAATAGCTTCTGATCTTGTTAGTTCTCTAAAATTCAATCACTCATTACAACTAATTGTAAGCATCCTATTATTTTTTTAAATTTACATCTTTATTATTGAAAGTATTACATATGTTCCCTTTGCCCACCTTAAGTGCTTCTAGCCTGCCCTCATCCCTCACCCCAGGCCTTCACCATTCTATTGTCTGTGTTCATTGGTTATGCATATATGCATGCAAGTTCTTTGGTTGATCTCTTCCCACATACAGCCTTCTTTCTGAGATTCCACAGTCTGTTCTATGCTTCTAGGCCTCTGGATCAGTTTATTGTGTTCATTAAATTCAACCTATGAGTGAGATCATATAATACTTGTGTTTCTCTGACTGGCTTATTTCATTAAGCATAATACTCTTCAGGTCCTTCCATGCTGTCTCAAAGGGTAAGAGAACCTTCTTTTTTACTGCAGCATATTATTCCATGGTATAAATGTACTACAACTTTTTTATTCACTCATCTGCTGATGAGTGAAACACTTAGGCTGTTTCCAGATCATAACAATTGTAAATTGCACTGCTATGAACATAGATGTGCATACATTCTTTCTGATGGGTGTTTTGGGTCACTTAGGTTATATTCCTAAAACTGGGATCACTGGGTCAAATGGCAGTTCCATATTTAATTTTTTGAGGAAAAAAATTCTCAGACTGTTTTCCATAATGACTGTACCAGTCCACATTCCCACCACAGTGTACTAGGATTCCCTTTCCTCCACATCCTTGCCAGCACTGGCCATTTGTTGATTTGTTGATGGTAGCCATTCTGACAAGTGTGAGGTGCTACCTCATTGTCATTTTAATTTGCATTTCTCTGATGGTCAGTGACTTTGAGCATTTTTTCACGTCTCTTGGCCAACTACATGTCTGCTTTGGAGAAATGTCTATTTAGGTCCTTTTGCCCATTTTTAAAAATTGAATTGTTTTCCTTTTGTTAAGTTATATGAGTGAGTTCCTTATATATTTTGGATATTAAGCCTTTATCAGATATATCATTGCCAAATATGTTCTCCCATAGCGGGCTTCCTTTTCCTTTTGTTGATGATTTCTTTTGCTGTACAGAAGCTTTTTATTTTGATATAGTCCCATTTGCTTATTTTCTTCTTTGTTTCCTTGACCTAGGAGATGTATCTGCAAACATATTGCTATAAGAGATGTTTGAGATTTTGCTGCCTATAGTTTTTTTCTAGGAATTTTATGGTTTCATGATTTACATTTAAGTTTTTTATCCATTTTGAGTTTATTCTTGTGTATGGTTTGAGTAGGTAGCCTAGTTTGTTTCTCTTTCTTTCTTTCTTTTTTTTTTTTTTGAATTTTATGCTTTTGCCTTTTTTGTTAAATATTGAGTGTAATGGCTTAGGTTGATTTCTGGGGTCTCTGTTTTGTTTCATTGATCTGTATGTCTGTTCTTGTGCCAGTACCAGGCTGTTTTGATTATAGTGGCTTCATAGTATAACTTGATATCTGATATTGTGATCCCTCCAACTTTGTTTCTTGTTTTCAAGATTGCTGTGGCTATTTAGGGTCTTTTTGGTTCCATATAAATTTTTGGAGTATTTATTCTAGATCTGTGAAATATGCTATTGTTATTTTTAATAGGAATTACATTGAATCTATAGATTGCCTTGGGTAGTATGGGCATTCTGATGATGTTAATTCTACCAAACCATGAACATGGTATATTCTTCCACTTGTTTATATCTTCTATCTATTTTTTAAACATCTTGTAGTTTTCCGAGTACAAGTCTTTTACCTCCTTGGTTAAGTGTATTCCTAAGTGTCTTAATTTTTTTTTTTTTTTTTGGTATATTTTATTGATTTTTTTTTTTTTTTTTTTTACAGAAAGGAAGGGGGAAGGATAGAGAATTAGAAACATCAATGAGAGAGAAACATCAATCACCTGCCTCCTGCACACCCCCTACTAGGGATGTACCTGCAACCAAAGTACATGCCCTTGACTGGAATCGAACCTGGAACCTTTCAGTCCGCAGGTGGATACTCTTTCCACTGAGCCATACCCCAGGGCAGTGTCTTAATATTTTTATTGTAGTGGCAAATGGCATTGTTTGTTTATTTTCTCTTTCTGAGGATTCATTATTGGTGTATAAAAATGCCATCGATTTCTGGGTGCTTATTTTATATTCTGCTACATTGCCAAATTCCTTTATTAAATCTAGTAGTTTTTTGGTGGAGTCTTTGGGGTTTTCTGTGTACAATATCATGTCATCTGTGAATAATAAGAGTTTTACTTCCTCCTTTTTAATGTGGATGCTTTTTATTGCTGCTTATTGTCTCATCTCTGTTGCTAGGACTTCCAGTACTGTATTGAATAAGAGTGGTGAAAGCAGACATCCCTGTCTTGTTCCTGTTCTTAGGGGAAATAGTTTTAGTTTTTGCCCATTGAGTATGATGTTGGCTGTTAGTTTGTCATATATGGTGTTTATTATGTTGAGATATGATCCCTCTATTCCCACTTCGCTGAGATTTTTTATCAAAATGCGTGTTGGATTTTGTCCAATACTTCCTCTGTGTCTATTGCTATGATTATGTGTCTTTTGTCTTTCAGTTTGTTTATGTGATGTATCATGTTTATTGATTTGTGACTATTATACCAGCCTTGCATCCCCAAAATAAATCCCACTTGGTCATGGTATGTGATCTTTTCAATATATTGCTGGATCTGATTTGATAATATTTTGTTGAGGATTTTAGCATTTATATTCATCTGGAATATTGGCCTGTTGTTCTCTGTCTTTACAGTGTCTTTATCTGGTTTTGGAATTGAGATAATGCTAGCCTCATAAAAAGAGCTTGGAAGTGTTCCTTCCTCTTGGATTTTTTGGAATAGTTTGAGGAGTATTAGTGTTAGTTCTTTAAGTGTTTGGTAAAACTCCCCTGTGAAGCCGTCTGGACCAGGACTTTTGTTTGCTGGGAGGTTTTTGATTACTGCTTGTATGTCATCCGTTGCCATTGGCCTATTCTGGTTTTCTGATTCTTCCTAATTCAGTTTTGGAAGATTGTATTTTTTAAGGAGTTTGTTCATTTCATCCACTTTTTCCAGCTTATCTCTTGTTCATAGTAATTCCTTACAATCCTTTGTATTTCTGTGGTGTCAATGGTTATTTCTCCACTTTTGT